CCTCAGGCATTTTACAGGCTGCATATATTCACAATGCCTAGTCAATATTTCTTCCTGCTGCTTTGTGTAACCACCAGATGTTCTAACGACCGGCTATGGTTTTATAGAACATGTCCGAGTTCATATGTTGCAGTCATATCGAATTGTCCATGCGACCTCCAAATCAGCGTAAGCATGAAAAAAAAAACGTTGAACGTCTACTCTGACGCACCCTTAGCTCCGTTGAAGTCAGCTTTCTGTTTTATTGGCTTGTGAGGTATGCAGACAAGGGTTTGTAGGCAGTCAGTTTTGATAAACAGCTGCCGCGGCGCAGCGTGAGAGCGGCGTTGAAATAATGTAATTAATGATCTTGCTTTGTATCTTCTTAGTGCAGCTTATTGACTCAAGTGCCTCTTCTGGGGTCAAGTGCCTCTTTTGGTAATCACAAACTCTGGGTGATATGCCCTGAATGATGCTTTATTAATCGCTGTTTCACAACGTAAAATTGGTTTCGATTTGGTTGCATTATTTGTGTTGTTTAGATACCACAGGGGAGCAATGCCGCTTCAACCCTATTGGCCGTAGTGTCTAACGGTGGCGGCCATATTGCGCAGACCAGAAACCGGCTGCCGCCTGTGTTGAGGAATAGGGAATTCGGGACCTCGATTTACGTTTGCGGCCGCCGTATCCGTTACGTTCAAGTTACGTAGATACGGAACCCGGCGTCTTACGCAGAATTGAGTGGGGAACACGATCGTATCTTCAGAATTCCTCAAATTCACTCGCCTGACCTACATTTGCCCCGGCCGAGGGGGTTGATTGAACCCACCTCGCTAATGCACCGCTAATTAAACTAGAATTAAGCGGTAAAGTGGTCGTATGCGGCAAAGTATAATGCAGAGTGACTGGTAGGAACCCGCTGTAAGGGTCTCAGGTCAACCGGTGACCTCTGAGGTCAGGTCAGGTGATCTAAGGCACGGGTTTGGTTTTTTGGTAAATAACTTCGCCAAAAATGGCCGTAGAGCCGCGATTTTGGCATCATCGTGTTCAGCTAGCTCAGGCGCATCGAGTGATATACTTTTTGTTCGGGTCAGGTCAACTTAGGGTGTTGACCTCAGGTCAAGGTCAGGTCAGCACCCCAGGTCACGAAGTTGGTCGAAAGAGGTCATGTCGCATATCATTCGATTCGGCAGGTCTTCCTGAGTCCATTGGTGGCTTTCCCGACTCGCTAGCTCAATTTGATCGGGAGTTATTGAAAAAAATGGTGACCCTTGTGACGTCACAAATGACGTCACGCAAGGGCAACAATGCAAATATGAAGCATAGAACCTTGCAAAGAGTGCATGAAATCATGATTTTATATGCTTGAGATAGTTTCAGATCATTCTCGGCGCCAAAATAACAATTTTCATATTTCCCCATTGACTTATAAGGGTTTAACGTATTAGTTCCTTATAGCTGATGTTTTTAGGATTTCATCTTGTTCTCCACTCAATTCTGCGTAAGATGCCGGGTTCCGTGTCCACATAGCTTGAGCGTAACGGATGCAGCGACCGCAAACGTAAATCGAGGTCCCGAATTCCCTATTCCCCAGCACAGGCGGCGGCCGCTTTCTGGTCTGCGCAACATGGCGGCACCGTTGGACACCATTTGGCGGCCGATGCGCATTCCACATTATAGAGTTCAGTGTTAGATACTTACAAGCACGTCCAAACGTTCTCGTCTCGCTCGAGAAAACTGTTGTTTCAATGTCCTCAATGCTTATTCAGGGCGCTTGGTTTACTCATTATATTTTTTACTCGTATTCGTATCATGTTACTCGTATCGTAAGAATTATTTGCATGCATGCTGAGTCACGTGGTCCTTTTCAAGTAATTCTAATGTGAGGTGGTCGCTAACAAATATTTACATGATTACAGATAACAGTAGAACAGACATTAGAAGTCGGTACTTCTGTTATCTGTGTCATGATGCATGCAAATTGTATTTGCAATGCAACAACTTTTCAGGAGGAATTAACCTTTGAAATGCATTTCTGCCCGTAGACTGAATGGATAAACACCCACGTTGCTTTTCTACGCTCTGATGAAAGTACCTACCCAATTACTGCGGCGTAATTATTTCTGAAGTTTTCTCACTGCCAATTACCATAATGTCCCTCCCGGGCCATCCCACTGTTTTCCGACCAATCGGATAGAACCGGGATTGTTTTCAACCAATCAGATACCGTGCCAGGACAATTTCAACCAATCAGCGGCCGCGTCTGCGTGATATATGCACTGTTTACTTTGAACTCCGACTGGAAATTCTGGCCTAATCCGCGTGCAGTGTTGCGTACGACGACCGGCGAAATTGGATATAAACAGTTCACAAAATAGCGCAAAGTGCGTCGTAATACCGAAATGGTGTTGTGTGGTGTAAAAACGAGTCGTGTTGTTGATGGGTTCGATTATGTTGTGACGTGACCACTTTGGACTGGGCTGTTGAGCCGAAGCGACGGCTTTGGATTGCTGTTTGTCGATGGAAACCAGATCAAATGTTTTTCGAATGCTTCACTAACCTAAAAACATAGCAGATACGCATAGGAGTGAATTCGGAGCTAGGAGTTTAGTATACGGCTGTGAACAATGCACGGCACGATGCTTGTAATTAATAATGTGATGCGTCACATTTTGTTCAATGCTCATTGCCTTCGCGCACATTGATGGCAACCTACCTTACCGTTCAACACTGTCGTACCAGGACAGCATACGCTGTACAGTATCAGCAGACATTGCACCAAGCTGCTTTGAAGCACAACTCCGTAAAAGCTTCTGCAAACTCGGGATTTTTTTTCAAAAGCAGTACAATCGTTTGAGTCAAAGCCCACAGTTTGAACTCCTAATCGGATTTAAACTTGTGGCGGTGCATCGCTTTTCCGTTTGCGCTATTTGCAGTTTACTCGTACTTTTTAGTTGAAATAATATCATCAAACTTCGGGCGAATTCGAAGGATTGATGCAAATTATCATAAGCGCTGTTGCAACGGAAACATGCTGAATTTAGCGACGCATCAGAGTGTGTGCTGACTCTGTGTTTTTCTGTTTTCAGATCTAAACTGACGATGGTTACGCAACTGGTCCTGGCGCTACTTTCACCTCTGATGACAACTGCTCTCAACTTCTCAGAAGCCGAGGTGAGACCAGCGAACTGTGCTGATTTACGTGTACAACATGCTACAGTTTTCAAGTTATGTAAAAAAGCCATCTTTGCTATGAAATAACTTAACACCTATTAGGCATACACCAATTTCCAATCACTTTTCAAATAAATTACTCAATCGATTATAAAAAAAAATCAAAACATCGATAAATGTCAAACATGGAAATGTGGCAAATAGTTTAAATGTATAACACGCGAGTTTAGGGCATTTGCGCTAAGCAGCCATTTCTGCAAAGCTGCCATGATACCTTATAAGCGCCCAAACATAAAGGAATTAGTTACTTTTTATTACTTCCAGCTGACAAAAAGCCAGTTAGCTCGCCTCACACCATATTTTATCTCAATTCTCATACGCCTCTTGAATCAATTTCAAACGACCGTTTTCTTTGCTGGCACACCAAAGAAGCGACATATCCGTACAGGCCTAGCTACACTATGCGTTTTCTGCGTGCGTTCTTGCGGTTTTTCGGGTTTTGCATAATATCGTTCCAGAAAAATAAACGATAATACGTTTTTGTGATGTTTTTATGTTAAATTTTGGTTATATAAGAGATATAATAACTTTTGCATCTAACTTATGTAAAAGTTATATTATTCATATCTTTTTTTCTAGAACGATATTACGCAAAAAACGCAAACCCTCAAAAAACGCACGCAGAGAACGCATAGTGTAGCCAGGCCTTAACAATCATCTCCATGGCAACCGTTCCCATGGCAACCGTTTTGTGCACGGGGCGCTGCGCCGGCCATGTTGGCTCCGGAGAGGATATTAGACTGGGTCTGCTCCGAGCGGGCGACCTGATGAGACAGGAACGGTGATTGATGACGGTTCTCCTGCAGATAGAACCGGGCGTGGGTGCCGGTGGGTTTGGGTGTGCTGTCAGCGGGTGTGGGAGGGGTGTGGGTAAGGTTGGGCTGAGGATAGGGAGCAGTGGGGTATGGATGCGCTCTTATACGGCCTTGTATGGATGTATGATAATGCCTATGTTGTGTTCGAGCGGGCATGATACATGATGGGAATAAGAGATGAGGTTTATATTACAATATTAACCTTCGCCCCAGTGGGGGGGGGGGCATATGTTACCACCCTGTCGCGTTTTTTCGTATAAATAAAAAACCGCGGCGCGTAGCGCCGCGCCGCTTGGGGTAGCTTTTGGTACATCAATTTTGGACAATGTGTGAAATTTTTGACCCCAGGTCATGTCAGGTCAGGTCACTAGGTCAAGTTAACTGACCAAGCCTAAAAAAAGTTTGCAATCATGTCCAGCCTGCAGTGTTTGTCAGAGAGGTTTAAAACTTGGTGGATTACATGATGTTATGGGTACCTACAATTTGTATGTCTCGGATTTTTTATATGCGTGACCTAAGGTCAGGTCAGTGGCGTGACCTTTCCATTATAAGTCAATGGAGAAAAACGAAAATGCCTCTAGATCCGTGTGTACGCATAGGAACAGTCCAAAAATTTCAGGATAACAATGATTTGGACCACCCGTGACGACCAAGGTGTCTTTTTTGCTGATAGCCTCTTGAAAGGTCATCCGAGGTCATTTGAGGCTACAAACAGTTTTTTGCCAATAACTCTCGATTGGAAAGAGCTAGAACGCTGGGGTTGGCCTCATTGTGTTTGTCTTGCCAAGACGCATCGACTGATATGCAACATGACCTTTTCCGGTCAGGTCATGACCTTGACCTAAGGTCAAGTTTTGAAGTTGACCTTTCAAGGTCAAATTATAGTTCATTCGACGCGTCTCGGCGAGAGAAACACGATTCTGGCATTAGAAATGACCTAGCTGTTTTTAGTCAAAAGTTATTGTCGAAAAACACTTTTCTTAAAAACAGCTATTTTTGGAGTTTTTGCCCTCTGGAGGCTAAACCGTTGACCTGAGGTCATTTTTGATTATGACCTTATCAAAAGAAGAGTTCAAAAGCTATCGATTGCTTTTCCCAGCGTTTTTCTAGCTATCATAGTTCCTGAGATAATGGCATGTTTTCTGAAAAATATAATGACAATTCGCAAATTTTGACCTTTGATGACCTCTGGTGACCCCAATATTGCTCTAAGATGAAAAATGACCGAAATACTTTCAAACGTACGCATCAAGAGCTATCGACTGCTTTTCACCGCGTCTTTCTAGCCCTCTTAGTTTTTTAGTTAGAGGTGGGTGGTAACATATGCCCCCCCTCACTAGGGCGAAGTTGGCGGAGACCGCCACTGGGGCGCGGGTTAATTCACAAATGACTATCGAACAAATTATGCGTAGATAAAAGTTTAGTTCCTTTGGACCGATTCCTCGGATATTTTTTTTCAAACAAAATACACGCCACCAAGCAGGTTACACCATGTGATGATGTGATGTGTGACTGATGTGTGTTTGTTTTCTTACCTTTATCAATCAGGTCTCACCGATCACATTTTCATCGCAGGTTTTCCCTCACGAGGCGCCACCTGTTAGCTACGGCAGGTCAATGACCTCTGACCTGGAGCGTGACCTGCGGATCATCGACCAATTTTCGGCGGAAAAGCGCGGCGCACAGTGCGTCTCGAACCCAAGAGTCTCGGTCAAAATTGACATCGATACCTCAAGGTGAGTCAAATGCTATGTGCAAACGATTTTAGATATTTGCACGGATTTTGAAACTTTATGTAATAGTTGAGATTTGTGAAGTTTCATTTCTATGTAATAACTTTAATTTTTGCCCTAGAACAAAAACATGTGGATGTGATGATGAATAGGTATCTGCATTTCAGTAATCAGCAACTCCCTGCAATTACTTTTAACTGACGTTCACGCGCCATTTACTAAATATTCACTTACCTTTCCCGACGAGAAAACCATGGATGTTATTGCTCTTATCTAGACATCTGTTTCCGAATCAGTACCTTATATCTACCGTTACCAGACAGCTATTTCAGCCGAAGCTGCTTGATTTGACGGTCCCCAGACGACAATATATTCCTCCGCGGTCGGAAACAACTCCCATGGCGGTTACAAATTACTTCGAAACCCCATCCAACCACTCCTCAATCAACTGATTGAAAACGGACACCCTAGAACCGCAGCGCATCTTCCTAAGACGCAAAATCTGCGTCTTAAACGCTACCGGAGATTGGCCGCGAATTTCATGGCCGCATGACGTCACTGGGGATTTAGTGACGTCATTGGGATGCTGGCGGTGATTTGGGTCGGACGTCGGCTAGACGACGGTGGGCCTGATGTATGCAGATTGGGGCCAGGAAGGGATATCGTGAGACGAATTCTGAGGCGAAATCTGCTATTTTCCTACGGCGGGCTGCTGCGAAGTAGATTCTGGGTCATGTTTCCTCCACGACAGGGTCAGCTGAATTGCGTCATAGAAATACGAAGTAGGGTAAAGGAATGAAACCATGCACCAATAAATATTTCCACAACTACAATTCCATGCCAAATTTATGTAATATATCATTTCGTTTTATAACATCGTTATTTGATTTGAACCATTTGTACTTTCCCCATGGCTACCGATGTTATCGTGTATTTGTCTTTATATGTCTCATCTGCAAAAAAGTACGAATTCGTGACGTAACTTACCTACCCAACGGCAGATGCTTCAGATGATACCTTAAAACCCGCGCCCCGCTGGGGGGGGGGGGGCAGAATCTGCCCCCCCCTCCCGTTTTTCGCCAATAACTTCTAAACGCGTTACGCCAGCGACGTCAAACTTTCAGTACCTTATCATACATCAATTTGACACGTTCCCTGAAAATTTGAGCGAAATCCGTCGGAAAATTTTTGAGAAATTGACGTTTTAGTGACGTCATGTTCGCCATTTTCGCCTCAAAAACGGCAAAATTTCAAACGCCGCTAACATCTTCATTTTTAAAGGAATCAAGACGTAACAAAAAAGGTTATACGTGATTCTACTTTGTCTATCCAATGGCTATCTCGGTTTTTTGAAAATTTTGGATTTTGGCCAAAATTTTTCCAAAAAACTGACTTTTTTGGGAAAATATTTATAAAATCCAAAATTTTGAGTGTATCGAAAAAACCGGAATATATGTCAAAGAACTGGTCTATGTGCACCTACATACCAATTTTTAGAAGAATCGGTTCAAAAATGTGGGAGTTATTCAAAATTTTATGACGTCACGACACACAAAAATTTTGAAAAATGATTTTTTTGGAAGTTCTAGACCTCGTACGGAAACAAAAATAGCACCATTCGATTCGCCGTGAAAAACTGCATCGGATAGACACCTTTTTAGGCCTTAATAACCAACTTCAAAATTTGACCTCACTTGACCTGACCTTGACCTGACCTCGACCTGAAATTCATCCATAGGTGGTCCATATCACTTATTGAGTGTGCCTATTGAATTCCATGAGTAAAATGACCCATAAAACATGTGTCGCACATGCCCTTTTCTATATTTTGTTTTTGGTGACCTGACCTGACCTGACCTGACCTTGACCTTGACCTTTGAATGACATTGTGTGCAACGAATATTGTCTTGGTAGTCTAAGAACACGTTTTGGGCAATCAGTCTCAGTCCATTCTTCGGCAACTACGGTGCAAGGCCGATACTGTAGAAACTTGCATTTTGTACCCTTGACCTGACCTTGACCTGACCTCTGACCTACTTAAGCAAAAAAATTTGGGCTCTTAAGATCCGCCTTGTTGAGAGCTTTCGATTGCCGTTTTCCCCCGTCTTTCTACGACCATCGGTTCGGAAGTTAGACAGGGGGGGCAGAATCTGCCCCCCCCCCCAGCAGGGCGCGTATGGCTGAATAGCCCAGCGGGGCGCGGGGTAATGTGATTACTGTTTCAGGTATAAAGAACTTACCGGGCTGGCCGACACGGTGGCTGAAATAATGGGAGCCTACGGCAACTTTACGCCAGAGGGTGAGTTATAATTTATAAAATAGGTGACATGAAACGTATGGATTACAGCACAAGCAGAATATTGTTTGTAATACTCGAGCATGACGTCTTTCATTTTATGTGATCAAAGTATTATTTCGTCATGCAGTTAACTTGCCCTCGCCAACTAAAATTGATGCAAAATCAGTACATCAATAAATACATAAATCAATGAATCAATCACTTCCGTGCTATCAGCTATCGGGCAACTTATTGGATTTCCGGGTGAATCGTCGAATTTCATTGATATCATATTTCCCGTTTCCATCGTCCTCTTCGTCTACAAAACACTGTATGCCGTTTTGCAGCCCTAATTTTCGTTTTCCCAGCGCTGAACCTCCCTTGCCCTCCCTGTTTTCAGCGCTGATCTCCCTGACATCACGAACTCTGAACCCCCGTATGCCTTCCCTGTTTACTCGTATGACCCGACCTGTTCATATCCCCAACTCTCAAACCCCGCCTGTTCTCCCCGTTTTCAGCGATTCTCCGGTCTCCCAAAACACTGAACCCCCGTATGCCCTCCCCGTTTCAGCGCTGCTCTCGGTGACCGTACAAACCCTGCAGCGGCGTCTTGAATACCTTCTAGAGGCGCGATCAGTGGTTCTCAACCCGAACACGGGCGCCCCGGTATCGGTCATAATTGTACAACCAGCTCCGCCCAGCGCGGTTCCTTCGGCGGAACCTGAACCACCGGTGGTTACAGTGGTTCAGGAACCGAAACAGATGGCGGACCTGGCCGGAGAACCGTGGTTCCTTGCGGACAGGTAACCATGAGTGATTGTTCTGTTGAAAGTCATTTGCGCAGTCAAATGCTGCTTAGTGCTCATTGAATTAGGAATTAAACATTTGTTTCTGTAAGTTATCGGCATATGTTTTTTTGGTCATAAGTGTTTTCACGCATGTTCTGCAGTTTGGAGTAATTACTAGACAGTAGACACCCATTCACTGTCCAAAATCAATCATTCAAGCTAACTTAACCCGGCAGTTGCTGGGGTATTTCGCCACCCACCGTTTGCTGGGGGGGGGGCGTTAAACGCCCCCAGCCGATAACTCGAGAACCAATAGGCGCAGCGAAACGCACGAGGCGGCAAACGAAAGAACGCGACGAGACGCTTCAGATGAGTACTTTAAAGTTGAATTTTGAGGTCACAGGTCAGGTCAAGGTCAGGTCAAACACCTGAAATCGGGCTTTCAGCAGCATGGACTTCAGGACTTCGCAATGGGCGCCTCTCGTCATAAACTCTGTGAAAACGTGCACAATTTATCATATAAGGCCTACAAGAGTGTCAGCTCCATGTAGGGGTCAGTCAAGCATAGATCAGGGTCAAGGTCAGGTTGTTATAAATCGAGGACTTGGACAACTTTAACAAATTCGTTTATATTGCCGAAGCACCAATCAAGATACAAACAATACAAAAAAGCTCAGATTACAAATTCGAATTTCAATCCACGAACTCGCTGATCTTCAATTTCACATTATTTGTCGCGCGCGGTTCGTGCACTTTTGGGCAGACGACTTTCAATACACAACATACTCCCCCCGTTGCAGAAGGTTTGAGTGGACCAATCACATACCTACCTACTGCAACACATGTCAGTCCCTAGATGCAAAACTGATACAGTTTACAGAGCACATGTCACAATCAACATACACTGTCTTTCCACCTCCGCTCTAGCACTCGGCTGTAACAGTCGGGCTACCGAGCGCTGCCGGTGCTGCTATCGCTCTGCTCTCCTACACCAGCTCCAGGTTGTGTAGTCGCTGAACCGCACAGCATGTGCGGCGCCCATCACTGGTGCGGACCTGCACGGACCGAACCACACCATCCGGTCCATGATACAGTTTTTCAACCGTTGCCATAGGCCATGTCAAACGCGGAGCATTGTCCCGCCTGATAATCACTACACTGCCGAGCTTTACATTGCCTCTGGTTCCAAACTTGGGAACGATAGCTGGCAGGTTTCGTATATACTCGTCACGCCACACACGCCAGAACCGCTCTAATCGCTCGCTACGAACTGATTTCAGTCGGCCTAATGCCTCCCCTGACGCACCCTCGATACCTTCTGACCTCTCCAGACTCAAGACTGAGGCACGGCCAATGAGAAAGTGATTGGGAGTGAGTGGACCAGGGCATCCACTGTCATCACTGACAAATGTCAGAGGTCTGGAATTGACGCACGCCTCAACTTCATGTAGGATCGTTTCTAGCTCACGTTGTGCCAGATGCCGCTGCCCTACTGACTTCCTCAGTCCGACTTTGACTGATCAAATCAGTCTCTCCCACCAGCCACCATGCCACGGCGCGTAGGGCACTGAAAACCTCCACTCGGGAGCCGCGTATCCGATGCTCGACTGTAGATGAGTCGAGCACGCCTTGAAGGTCTTTGCGTTGTCCGAGTAGATCACTACTGGCCAGCCTCGTCTGGCCACAAAACTCCGCAAGGCCAGCAAAAGGCACGACAGCGACATGGACTCTGTTAGCTCCAAGTGGACCGCTCGCGTTGTAGCACACGTGAAAAGACAAACGTATAGCTTGTGCCGCGGCCGATCGACTGAGAACAGAGGTCCCGCGAAGTCTATTCCAGTCACGGAGAACGGGCTAGACTCAGTCACTCTGAGACGTGGGAGAGGACCGGCCGGTTCACAGCAGGGCTGTGCGTCCTGTCTCTGACATGAAACGCACTCTCGTTTCACCGTCTTTGCTATGCGGCGGGCGCCAACAATCCAATATGAGCTTCGCAAAGCAGTCAGCATGGTGTTGACGCCTGCGTGAGACATCAGTGTATGCTGAAAGCGGACTATCAGCATAGAGAGATGACATTTTGGGAGGATGATGGGGTGCTTTTCATCTGTTGACATTTCTGCCATTTGGAGACGACCCTTCATGCGAATCAAACCATCATCAGACAAAAAGGGGGCCAGTTTGTAGATGGATGATGACTTCGCCACAGCCTGGCCCCGAGCCAGCGGAGTGTACTCCGCATGGTACAGTGATCGCTGAGTCTGGCCGATGAGAGTCACTTTGGCCTCACGGATCTCTCCGTAGGACAAGTCGGCAGCTGTGATTCGACTGTCAGGGTTTCTCGCGTTGTGAATGAAACGCTTCACCCATGCTGTAACACGGACAGCCGTCACAAAAGAGCTCCACTGACTCAATGGGAGCACACTCTCTGAGGCGATCGAGTCAGTGCGCAGCATCATAGCATCCTGTTTGGATCCCGACTCGCCCAAACTTTCACGCAGAACATCTGGTCCGTCTGGAGACTCGCATGCTGCCGTGGACTCCTCCGTCTCGGCTAGCTCCTCGCTGGTCACGAAGAGTCCGCATCCGGCTGACTCTAGAGGGGAGCGAAGCCACTCAGGCCCGCGGGCCCATAGCTCAGAGCCAACCAGCTCGTCCGCTAGCAGTCCCCTCGAAGCAGCGTCAGCTGGGTTGTCCACACCCGCCGTATGACTCCATACGGACGGCTCAGTCAATGTGTGGATCTCCACCACACGGTTCCTGACGAACTGTTTCCATTTCGTAGGCTCGCTCTTTATCCATGCCAACGCTATGGTAGAGTCTGTCCAACAGCGAACGCGTACTTCTGAGGACAGTTTCAGAGCTTTGCAGACATAGTCTGCCGTGCGAGCTGCTAGTAAGCATGCTAACAGCTCCAATCGAGGAAGGGTGACGGTCTTCACCGGTGCCACTCGCGCTCGTGCTAATAGAAAGGACACATCAAAGTCACCGCTGGGCGTACGATATCTGAGGTAACTCACGCAGCCATAAGCGCTCTGACTAGCGTCTCCGAAAATATGCACCTCGAGATCTGGCATATCGGACCAGCACACACCGTTTTGCATGTAGCAGCGAGGTATTCTGAGCTCCTGCAGCTGCGAAATGCCACCGAGCCATTTCAGAAAAATGCTCGCCTCGTCGCTCGGGATAGGATCGTCCCACTCCAGTCCCTTTAGCCAGAGCCGCTGGAAAAGGATTTTTGCTGTCATCACAAATGGGACCAAAAATCCCAGAGGATCGAACAGCCTTGCAACAAAGCTGAGCACGACACGTTTTGTCGGCACTATATTAGTCGGCACAGAGACACCGTCATATTTTAGGACATCTTCTGATGGATCCCATCGAACTCCAAGAATCTTTAGTCTGTCTGTGTCTGAGGCTGCGCCGTTCCTGTCAAGTACGAGTTCACTATTCGAATGACATTTGCTCAGTGTCATACCCGCCTGAGAGAGAATATCACTCCCCTCCAAGAACATCGCTCTCGCCTCTGCCTCACTATCGGCTCCGGTGAGCCAGTCATCCACGTAAAGGTTGTCCTGAAGCTCGGCCACAGTCCTGCTTTGTGGCTGGAGACCGAGGTGGTGCTGGATGGTAGCGTTAAGCAGAAACGGGGACGATGTGACGCCGAAGGGAACCCGACAGAAGCGCATCACTCTCTCCCTTCCATTGACGTCCCACAAGAATCTCAGACAGTCTCGATCCTTTGGTTGAACGGAGACTTGGAGGAAGGCCTTTGTGATGTCACCTGTAACGGCGTACTTATGCCTGCGAAATCTCAGCAGAACGTCTGTCAGACTCGGAATCAAAGAAGGGCCGGCCTCGAGACAGTCGTTTAGAGACACACCATTAGGCCCACGTGCTGAGGCATCAAACACCGGCCGAACCTTCGTTGATGCACTGTCTGGACGGACTACTCGGAGATGAGGCATGTAAAGTGTAGGATATGACCCTTTCAGCTCGTTTACTGGCACTTCCTCAATTATGCCTCCGTTTTCCATGTCTCCGAGTGCCTCGTTATATGAATGAGCCAGCGACTGGTCTCGGGTCAGTTTCCGAGACAGACTACTTAGACGGCTCTCTGCACCCGCTCGGTTATCCTGCAACTGACCTGGGCTCACTCCTGACTTCCAAGGGAGAGCCACCTCATACCTGCCGTCCTTGTACACTACTTTGGAAGAAAAATCATCCAACACAGCTTTGGCGTCATCATCTCGATCTTCCTTCACTCCAATGACGTCCAGATCCCACAAGTTACGAAGGGCCGACTCCGACATGTCATTCATAAGCAGAAGCTGACAGGATGCCGGCTGGGACTGGTCACACGTCGCCGCGCCTGAGACTACCCATCCGAAGGAGGTCTCCTGAGCGACTAAGCTGCCTGGACCGCGAACTATTCCGTCCTTCATAAGCGCCAGTATGCGTCAAGGCCCACAAGGATGTCTATGGACAGTGTTTGATCTGAGTCGTGCAGCTCTGCTAGCTCTAGGTCTCTGAACATTAGTAGAGCTTCAGAAGGTACCGAGGGACGCTGTAAGGGGGCGCATATCACAGGAACCTCTAGAGCACTGATAGTCTCCCTTGAGACACTAGACTGATTAGCCCCTGACACCGTTATCTGGACCAAGTTCCGCCTGCACGTGACTGATTTACCTCCCCCAAAGACCGCATACGAGCTACTCTGCTCACCTAGCCACTTAGCACCTACTCGTTTAGCTAGAGAAGAGGTGACAGCTTCTGTCAGAGCCACTATCAAACAGCAAGGTGGCTTGGACGGGCCCCTTTTCCCCTTGCACCCATACTCGAGCCGTGGGCAGAACAGTACACTGTTTGGTCAGAGCACACGACAGTGAAGCCTCAGGGTTTTCAGAGTTTTCACGCGCATCATCACAGTCGGGTTCGTTGTTGTTAGGCGACACCTGCGTTTTGACACTATCAGGAATTCCGTGCTTTTTAAAGCAGCACACGGCATGATGTTTCCCTTTACACACCGTGCACCTTGCACGACAGTTCGCAGCTACATGTCCCCTTTTAAGACAAACAAAACACAATCTGGCAGCTTTAATCTTACCGTGACGGTCGCCAATCGAAGCCCCATTCAGGTCAGGGCACTTTGCTGTCGCGTGGCGTCCATCACAGAGCCCACACCTGCCAGTGTGAGCTGTCGCGCCGCCAGTTTCCGGTCCTCCGCGGCCATCCTGATCAGCGGCTGAGTGCAGAGCCGTGGCCGAGGAAGTCGTGTGCAAGGCCGTATAAGTTAGGTAAGATCGTCCGGGCTCGCTAATGTTACAAATCTGCAACACTACGGTGACGTCACCGGCGCATACGCTCCCTGGCTCCATCCTGACCCTGATGCGGCGGCTGGAATCGCTGCTAATCGAAAAATTACTTGTGCAATAGCGCTTTTAAATGACTTTAAAAAGGGGGAAAATATGATAACAAAATAATTATGAGAATCCCCTGTCCCGACTTGGATCGTACGACCCCGCCACCTAGCGGACAACGCCGTAATTAGGGTTGAGTTGGCGATCTCCAGGTGGCTCGTCACTCGTCAGCTGTCAGCCGCAGGCAGGCGAGGGCCGGCAGGCGCTTAAGTTATGTTAACGCCAGGTCATGCTCAGGAAAATGCGACATGCTTCATAACGGTCATTTATCTCGAAAAAGATGCGGTGCCCTGTGGTGCTATGGCCCACATGACTCGGGACCCGTGAGGCCCCTGTAGTCACCAGCAGCTCCCAAGGCTGCTACGGACGCGATACCGCAGATACGTACTCCGAAAATTGCTAGACAAAGGACTGCGATGGAGCCTGGAGGAATGCATTGCAAGGACTATGTTTTGGTTTATGTTCCTGTGCGTAATCGCGGGGCTATCGGTGTTAGGGTCCCGGGGGCCAAAGCCATGCGGGCAACTGGGGTGTATCTGGATGGTGAATGGTGATGATATCGTGTTTTTGTTCGGCCACATGGGCACAATAACGAAAGCATTGATTCACTCCGTCCGAAAGCCTAGGTAGTAGGTACCGAACCAATTAAGAACCACCAACAGATGTATTCCATGACAGGAAACAAAACGACCCCAACACTGCTCGCGCATGTCTATCCAATATCCATCCAGTGAGGGAGCACATGTGGTCCGTGTCCCCGCACACACGGGCACACAGACGATGGGTAACGCAACCACGAGTCGGCACAACGCAATCACGAATGGTTAACGCAACCACGAGTCGGCACAACGCAATCACGAATGGTTAACGCAACCACGAGTCGGCACAACGCAATCACGAATGGTTAACGCAACCACGAATGGTTAACGCAACCACGGGTCGGCACAACGCAACCACGAATGGTTAACGCAACCACGAGTCGGCACAACGCAATCACGAATGGTTAACGCAACCACGAATGGTTAACGCAACCACGAGTCGGCACAACGCAATCACGAATGGTTAACGCAACCACGAGTCGGCACAAGATGAATGAGCAAAAGCGACTGTCAACCACGCAACCACGAATCCGCACAAAATGAATGAACCAAAATTACTGTTCAACAGGGGTCAGCACTGCGCGCGTCCAGAGAGGCCAAGCCGGCAGCTCGCGTGATCACGCCCTGGGTCCGCGCCCTCAGCCGGGGTAGGCTCACCGTGCCATCGCCGAACTGGATGACCATCGTGGAAGAGTTCGAGGTCATCTTCCGGTTGATGATGGGTGCTACCGTCGACGGTCAGTCCGGTATCGTGCAGAGGCTGCTGGCGGCACTCCAGGTAAAGCGTCCATCTCTGGACGCCAGGATCGCGAGGAAGCTGGTGACGACGCGGGTCCACCTTCGGATCCGCTCACTAAACCAGCGCCAGGACGAAGTCGTAAGCACAAGTGATCCGCTCCTCGCGTAGGCCGGCCTGGCTCCCAGTGATGGTGCGCCGGGAGCTGCTCGCTGCCCGGCTGAACTGTCTGACAGCCTCAGAAGACAGAAAGTGACGGCGCTCTCCACACTGGCGAGTGATGCCGGGGTAAAGATGTCGGCACTGGACGCCGCCGGCAGACGCAGTGCGTTCTCCACCTGATTCAGCTGCTTCCTGCCGATTTACCTGAAACAAAGTCAAGTGAAATCAATGATCCTTCTTACCTAAGTGGTGGCCTGAGCTCTGCAATACGTGGACGTATCAATGGCCACAAAATCTATCTAATTAAGGTGCTGTTTAAATAAAGATAGAATTAATAGTGAATAGTGATTGTTGAAATGGCGACGGTCGGTGAGCTTAAACTAATGTAAAGTGGGAAACCCCAAAATTTAGTGTGTACAATATCTTAGCGCGAGCACCACTTATCGTAACAACACTGCTCGCTGGGAGCACTACTAAACGATTGGTCTAGCGGAAAGGAGGGTCGGTAGACACTTCAACTATTCTGACTCTCCGGAATTTTACTGATTACCAAAGTCAAGATATAGCATGCAATCCGTCCTGTTTAACGCCAACTCCGATTTCGACTATTTGTCCAATTGAACTGGGCGCAATAAATAGACACATTCAAGTGCAAAACAAAAATAGGAGAGATATAGAGGATTCTTCATGGCTCCGAGTGGAAGATAAGGATATCTTTTCCTAGCGGGTTACTGAAAAACCGAGCGACGAAGGAGCGAGGTTTTTCTGTAACACGCGAGGAAAAGATATCCGATCTTCCACGAGTGAGCCATGAGGAATCCTATATCTTTCTATGTTGAGGTTTATTCTTAATTAATTAAATATTATATTTAACTGTATTCATCTATGTAAAAAAAGATTTAGAGTAGTTTGTTTTTATTTCATAATTTTCATACATAAACAGCCATTAAAAATGCCGTTCGGTTATTGACCTATCATCAGTTGAACTCTTGATTTTTTGCTATGAACCCTCGAGACCTTATCTTTGCATCTCAGCGAGATGCAGAGATAACAAATTCTTATCTTTGCATCTCAGAGGAGTGCGAGATAGAAATATCCCTGCACTGTATACCCAATGGCAAATAAACCTCAACTAGAAAGATAATGCAGACATTACACTCATAGAGCTGGTTACAATGGCTTGATTACCATGACGATTGAAGACGATTGAATGATAGCGATAAAAATGTAGAGCAAGTCGAAAAGAAATAAATGCAGCTCACCACTCCGGACGTGCTGGCGGACTTGCTTGGCGGCGCGCCTCTCGGCTGCGACTTCGTCCTGGCGCTGGTTTAGTGAGCGGATCCGAAGGTGGACCCGCGTCGTCACCAGCTTCCTCGCGATCCTGGCGTCCAGAGATGGACGCTTTACCTGGAGTGCCGCCAGCAGCCTCTGCACGATACCGGACTGACCGTCGACGGTATCACCCATCATCAACCGGAAGATGACCTCGAACTCTTCCACGATGGTCATCCAGTTCGGCGATGGCACGGTGAGCCTACCCCGGCTGAGGGCGCGGACCCAGCTGGATGGGACTGAGCTGGGCGGAGCTTGGTCTGTAGTCTGTCTTGGTCCCGAGTGCTTTGTTGCGCCGGTCTGTGAAAACACCATTTACATCAACATTCAAATAGGGCACAACTTCAGTGAGCTGCTTTGATCATTGGTGACTGATGCACAGATTATATTGATATGCAAAATGTTTCAAGTATCATGCAAATATGTCGGTAGCGGTACCTAACTTGGTACCTACCTGCTTACTAGCAACCTAATTTACAAATTAATGTGTCATGGTACATATCTGACAAGCGCACACAGTCACAGTGCAAATCCAAAAGCAAATATAAATTTGTTACAATTTCCATCACAATAAGAAAGATTCGAATTAGTACATTACCAACTGAATAGTTGGCATTCATATCAAATCCATTAAAATGAAATACATACCCCGAAGACCCAGCACTGCGCAGATTCTGTGTTGGAACCGCATCAGTCTTCAGACATGGGCTCACACCTGGCATCAGGGATGCTTTCACAAGGTAGGAAGGATCATAATCTGAATCAAGAAAGTGGTCTGAGCAAATCCTTGCCTGCAACACATTTATAGGATCCTGCCTCGAACATCTATGCACCCAGGTCGCACATGTGGCTGGATCCTTCGGGAACCGAAAAAAACGATTTTGTGCAGAACTTGCCAGTCCTTCGGTAACTTCGGCATGTAGCCACCGCACAGTACGACATCCTGATCCTGAATCAAGTCCTGAATCATTCAATCAATTTAAGTTTCAATGGTTTCAAACAATCAACTCGAGGGTACAACCAAGGTACAACACAAGCAAGAAACAGGAAATGAACTTGTTTACAACCGTGAGTCCGTGACCGTCAAAATCGAATTCAAGGCCAAATTTGCGGGGAAGGCCAGCTGAGAAGTGTCCGGTCCGCTGACGTCACGGGTAATGTTAAAGATCCGGGTGCCCAGCAAATAGGAAAGCTCGGGATGACAGCCCCCTGGTCGTGTGTCCGGTTCTCTGCTCCCGGCCGCGTTCTCTGACGTCTCGTTTTGTTTTGCTGCTGTTATCGATAGTAGTCGATCTGTCGATGCGGTCGATTTCGCTTCTGAGACAGCTTAGAAGATAGCTGAGATCACTTTCTCGACCTTCACTTCCACGAGCCCACTCCAGCCTAAAAGATTCTGGCAGGCGGCTCAGCACGAGGGGTGTTAGGATGACCCCATATCTGTCGCCTCCTACTCCAAGCCGCTCGAGGCTGCGGATGTGGAGCAGGAGTGAATCTTGGACGGCTTTTAGAGTCATTTCTCGTCGCTCTGTACCCAGCACCAATAACTTCTCTACGTGAGCGAATATTATCTTTGCTGGCCTCGCAAACCGCTCCTTCAATATGTCGCAAGCTACTTTGTAGTTAGCGCTGACAACTGGTAGTCCTTCAATGGCCTGCTTTGCCTCTCCAAATAGCAATGACTTCAGATACACAAGTTTTGTCACTTCTGGTATCTCAGAGGAATCTATCCCTGCCTGAAACTGATCCCAAAAGGAGTCCCATTCCAGGATCGCTCCACCAAACTTGGGCAGCTCTAGCTTGGGAAGTCTTGCATTTTGACCTGCAGAACCGTTTGACGAGGTGGTACTGGCCGTCGTCGACTGACCACTCGGTGAACCACCACTTTCCGTCGAATCTCGATCACAAGTGGACATCCTTTTTAGTATCCGAACTGCTCTCCAGCGCGCCTCCATAGCGCCGTCTCTCACTTCGGCAGCCTCTTCTACATCGGCTTCAAGTTCGGTGTCGTTAATCACAAGTTCGATCTTCTCTTGGAACGCGTCCACATTTGACGTTCGCTTGTCCAGCTCTGTAAGAGCACTTCGAAGTTCTTCTTCTTCACATTCAATGTCGATGAGCTTCTCTATTTTCGCAATGGATCGTTTGAGCCAGGTTCGAGACGCTGCTCGTCCACGCCTTAATTCAGCGATTGTCGTCATGCTTAAACACAAGATATGTCGACCTATTTTAACTTCGGCAATATAAGTTCCCGGGTTTCGGCACCATGTTATAAATCGAGGACTTAGACAACTTTAACAAATTCGTTTATATTGCCGAAGCACCAATCAAGATACAAACAATACAAAAAAGCTCAGATTACAAATTCGAATTTCAATCCACGAACTCGCTGATCTTCAATTTCACATTATTTGTCGCGCGCGGTTCGTGCACTTTTGGGCAGACGACTTTCAATACACAACACAGGTCAACCGGGCAGGCACATATCCCCGAAAATCAAAACTGATATTCGCAGCCTGTGACAGATGTTTTATGGGTAATTTGGGGCGTAGAACACGATGGTGACATTCATTTTACCATCTGTACGTGTTTGGCTAAAAAAGTTAAATTTAAGAAATGCATGTACCTATCATGGTCGTGAAGTAGTCACGAGAAATTGCCAAGATTCAGTTCAAGATTTTGGAAAATGCGGAACAATAATCAACAATCGAAGATAGCCATTTCATTGTTCATGGTATTGGCAGTCTAATGGCGTTTACGGCATGTCTGTATGTCTATTCTGTGATTTTATATGATTTTTTGAACATATGCCGTTTTTGGTCGAAAACTCAGAAATCATGACGTCACTAAAACCTCGATATCTCAAAAAAATTCCGACCGATTTTTTGAAACTTTGTCACAATAAACTTTAATCAATTCCCTACAGGTACGCAAAATTTGGCGCGCCTGCGGCGCGCCGTTTTTATGCTATGGCCCGGCGAAAAAAGTGGGGGCGTTTAACGCCCCCCCAGCAACTCGCGGGTTAATCACGAGTCGAACACATTGTTCGAACTGATCCGCGATATAAAACCCGACCACACGCGGAATCGAACCCTCCTTGCTGGCTTACTGACGCACCCCCCCCCCCCCCTCGCCCTGCAGATACGCCGAATATGTGCATGGTCAGCATATGCGTCAGGACCCTGCACTGATGGAGAAAGGAGTATGGACGCACCCCTACCTACGCTGTATGGATAGAAAGTGGATTATATCTTATACCGTCAGAGTACCGGCACGACCCAGCGAGCCAAAGAACAGGTGAGGATTTTTGATGTGTGAAATTTCTGTTAGAATTTTTGCAATAATTGATGGCAATAATGACATTTTGTTAGAATAGTTTCAAAAAAAAACTAAAAGCAACGCTGTTTTCACATTTAGCGTTTGAAGTCAAATTGCTATGAGTTGTTATTCAAGAGCTTCGCATTATCGGGCTGTGACAAACTGCGAAACTAGGTTAATTGTGATTTAGCCATATCAGTCAACCATTTTGTTCTACAATCGTTTTGTATGGTCCTACATCAAATCTCCCGATTGTATGTGAATCCTATGACCTATACTCCCCCGGCACTACCGGGTTCTCTCCGGAATATTCGTCCCTTGGCACTCTGACAGAGAACGATTATTTCCTGTCTGGTCCTGGTAAAGACGCTAGCTGAATATCCTGCACGAAGGCTAGTCCAAAAGCAGCGCTTAGTCCTCCAATAGGCTTCATCGAGTAAGGCTTCAGCGTCTTGCATTCAGCTGTAGGCTATTTACCGGGTGGCCCAGAAAAAACGTTCCCAATTTTAAATCAATATTTCTCAGAAAGTGATAAAGATACAACATTGAAACTTCCAATAGTCAATGCGACATATATTTTCAGTGAATGGTATAATTTTTATGTTATTCGGTCAATTACTTTTTAAACGGTTTGTGTTTCTAGCATGCCATGTAAAAATCACTTTTTTGCTCTGATGTTTACCAAAAATGTGAGTGAACGGGCCACTTCCATCTCGGCACCACGGCCTACAGCCATGACTGCTACTGGCAACTAGTCTCATTGGTGGTTCAGGCCTCAGGGTGACACATTCCCTCTAGCTTTTTTCCTTATTCGGTCGAGTTACTATTTGATCTTCTTGAAGGGAGGGCGATCAGCAGTAACCCATGCACCGTGCCACTCCTTCGCCTCAAAACAGGACTTGTGTTGAAACGAATGGCATCCATTAACACAACTTTGGCTTAGTATTTGAATATTTGGCACATAAGTGTGACAAAAATACATATATAAAATAGCAACACACGTGCTGGTATCATTCAAGCCGTTTTATTGTTTTTTTTTTTCTAACATGGTACATCTAAGCCAATCATTACTTCCGTTCAACAACGGCAAAAAAAAGCAAAAATGTCTTACTTGATTCAACATAAGATTGCTGGCTTGAAAATGATGGTACAGTGTTATAATTTGGCATACCAATGCGCAAAGAAGTGACGCAAACTTGATGAAAATTTTGACTCGTTATTTGCACTCGAATTTGAGATATAGGCCTCCAAAGTTCGGAACGTTTTTTTTTGGGCCACCCGGTATACAGGGTGTCCGGAAATTGATTGCGCACTCTTCTAGTCCACTTTACAAGGAAAGAAAACATGCATGGGTCATGGTTTATTTACCGATATACCCTCCACCCAATCGCACACATTCCCTCATACGGTCGGGCATGCCACACATCAGGTTATACAGTGTCTCCGCACTAATGCTGAGCCACGCTCGCTGGAGGTTCCTGATATGCGCCTGCTCGGTGGTAGCCGGCTCCATCATGTCGAGCTCGCTCTGCACGATAGTCCGCAAGTTCTCGATGGGAGACGGGTCAGGGCTGCTGCCCAGCCATACACCCTTGTCCCAAAGCCCTGGAAGGTTGTCCCAGCACCACCGTTGAGTGCTGGCGTCGTGATGAGCTGAAGCACTGTCTTGCTGGAAGATCGCCTCAGACATCTTCGGCACATCTTCGGGAGCAGCTCGACCTGTGTTGGCGCCCCTGTCTGCCTCTTCCGCTTATCGCGGACGCTGCAGACTTCTTCAGAACTCCTTCACGTGGTACTGGGCCGTCACGGTCTGACCGCGGGGGACGATGTGGAGCTCTGACAGGCCCTGATGACTCATCATGGCTCAGACCATGATTTTCAGCGGCTGCTTCACCGTGTCGATGGCAGGCACTTCAGCACTGCTGTGCGCCCAGACGCGCTCGTTCTGGCGATTCAGCGGGTGCATGAGCTCGAACACAGACTCATTGCTGAACAAGACGCGCCGCCAGTCCTGAATGGTCCAGTTCTTCTGCTCCCGGGCAAATACCAGACGCTTACGCTTCTGGGCTTCGGCCAGTTTTGGCTGCCGGCGCAGATTGAGCGGTTTGAGACCGAGGCACTTGGCCATGTAGTTGTGAACAGTGGTCTTCGACACCGCTTGACCCATCTCAGTCAGCTTTTTGGCCAGTTTCCGTGTCGATTGGCGTCTTTTCAGCACGGCCTTAGCGAGCACGTTTTTGGCCACTCTGCTCAGCACAGTTTTTCTCCCACGGCCCTTGCTATTCTCCAGTGCTGCACCACTGCGGTCGAGAACCAGTCAGTAATGAAGGGTCTGGAGAGATGCATCCACTTGTCGGGCAGCATCACCTACCGTCATCCCGGCTTCAACCATCCCAACCGCGCGGTAGCGCGTCGCTAAAGTGTGCTCCCTTACCATTCCCGATATGGGGTCCGCGCGCGAAGACTACCTCTCGGAAAGCGACCTGTGGCCACTCACTGCGGCTGGGGTCAGGTCACCTGCTGGATCACGTGATCATCTGACACGCTGGGGTGCCCGGGGGCGGGGTCGCAAACCTCCCCAACCGGTTTGGCGGGAGCACGTGCGAGATACGTGAATATGGACAGTGCGCAATCAATTTCCGGACACCCTGTATGTCCGTGGATCAATAACGCCGGGGTATTCTCTGAAGGTTCACAACAGCGTCTTTCCTGTGCCGGATCTGGATTGAACTAGCCGATACCGGTGATTAGCGGAAGAGCGTGGCGCTGCTCTGAAGCTGAAGCGTGGAGGCTGGTTCCGACATAGTTTATGAAATTGGAAAACATAAATCTAGAAGATACCTGTAAGGACCAACAAAAAGCAGCCATCAAGGCGGGGAAAGGGCGGAAGAGGGGAGGGGAAAGGCGGAAGAAAATGGTCGTCGAGGATGTTTCGGAGCTGCTTGAGACATGTAGGAAGATGTTTGAGATCAATGAAGAAACAAACATCCGACTCGAGATAACGGAAACTAAGTTTTCTTGTGGCATTTGGCCTGAACGAAGCCACCGAAGACCTCAGCAACGGCAGCGGGCTGTGAATCGTCGCTGACATGAACGACAACAGCTGTTAACGACAACGAATGCCTATATACTGCCTTGGACAACAGCCATTTATGTACACTGTGGGATAACAGTAGTAGTACTCGAGACCTGAACTAGCGGGTGCCGATCTTCCACCGGCCGGCGATTGTCGCTCTCAATCGGGCGTGGAGCAGCTGTTGGCGTCGTCGGACAAGCCAGCAACGTCGCTGTGACTGTTGGTGCCGACATCTACTTGGTGCTTGGAGGTGCAACAGCTCTAAAAACATATCTGACGCGAGCAGCACCACGTGGGGGACGTGACACTCCGAGCGCCTCCTGTACTGGCATGACTAGGTGTAGGCACTGCAGTAACAGTTGGTAGCATTAGACCAAATGAGGGCTCAAAACTACTATACCATATGGTTTCCATATTCAATCGACGTTTTCCAAGCGAGGCTCACACATAATACATCAATGAAAAGGTTAAACCGATGGAGGGGGAGGTAATACAATCTTTCTATCTAGCGTTTCTTGATGCCCAGACCTGGACAGGGCTAAAAAGCTTTGGGCGCCGCCAGATGTCCCGAACCACCCTGAATGAGGCCACAAGTACCTGCGCATGCGCACATTGCCGCAGCCTTGCACTCGAGTAGGTAAGGGATACTGTTCATGAACTCAATGAACCAATCAACATTCAACGTCCTTGTGTGTATTTCAAGATGTCACTGACGTCGGGTGAATCCTGCTCACGAGTACGTTTGAGGAACGTCACAGCTGCACGATTTCATTCTACCAATTCCTTCCATCTTAGTATCAACTTTGTTATTAAACTAACTTTAGACTAACTTTCAAGCTAAGGTTAGTATGCGTTTTCTGGGAAAAAAAAACTTCAAAAATAACTCATTACATGAAATTGGCAGAACTTCTCATGACCATTATTTTTATATTAAAAAAATGTAACAGCTACCCTGTATCTCATCCGGATAGAATGGGCGCTTTCCGCGTCATCAGCGTACCCGACGTTCTATATACCTTGAGCATGTCAACCCTGTAGACTTGCAGCACAGTGACGGTGAATGAGGAAGCTGCAAAGCCGCAGGCCGAAGCTGGATATTCTTCCAGTGACAGATGTCAGTGTACTGGTGGATCAGGAAGCTGCACTGAGCCGCATATCGAAGTTGGAGATTCTCCCAGTGACATGCCGACGTACGATGACAGCGTTCCTGGGGGAAAGCCTGTCTCTACACCTGAAGAGAAAGATGTGCTTAGAGGACTCGCTGGATGGAACCGATGGAACTGAATTGAGCCAGTCAATGGGAGATGTCTACGAAGTGGAGACAAAGTGCACCATGCGTTCGTGAAGGAGAAAGTAATCAACAAGTTCCTTTCGTACTCGAGGAGGAAGTATGGTGCGGAGACAGGACAGCAAGAAGAGTGCAAACACCCACGCACAGCTTATGAGGGGCTTCGAAACTATTGGCCGGCAGCAACGCTGCTCATGCTGCACATCGTGTTACGTGTACAGTCAGTCCGCCCAAGGTACCCGTGGGTCCATACAGGGTAGGGTCCATCAATTCTGACGGAGGAAGGGCATGCTATAATTTGAAAGTCACAGGACCAATCTGCCCGGGGAATGGACGAGGATGTTTATTGCTCCGGTGACTCAAATTTAGCAGCCCTTCCAGGGTCGGCCTTGATGAATCTCCCGCACTGTTGCGCGGTACTTTTATGACAGTCTAGGTACATACACGGCGATGGCCAATGTGATGAAGGACGCGGGTGGTCACGTCCTGAAAGAGGTGATGTGGAAAATGCTGCCCGACAGGCGCAAAATGCTCAGTAATAAAAAAGAGCATGGACGACCTATTCGACAGATCTACGCATTCCCAGGAATCCAAAGAGATCTAAAAATGATGGCTAAATACTCGTGCTTGGGAAGAATTATCTTGAATATCTAGCCAAAAAGAACACCGCTTACCAACGTCAATCCGCATAGGTATTAGGTATATTGAGTGCTGTAATCAACAATCAACTATCGTATAGAGATAATACGAATGCCTTTAATTAGCGTCTGTCGTCACGTACTGAGCATGTAAATCTAACTATGCCTGTATATCACGCGTCATTGACCATTCAACTATGTACGCCGCGACGTGTTCAGACGGAACCAACGCCATCACCCAGCGCCAAACAGTACCTAATTTACTATCATTGATTTGATCCCGACAACACTATTTCAGGGTGAATAGCTTCATCAGCTTTGATGTAGACGTGTCCCGGTTGGATATTAATCAGTGTGACGTCACTGGAGGCGGCGCTGACGTCACTGGAGGCACCAGAGGTGGCCAATCGGATCAGCTGGAAGTGTTCAGAGGACTGCATAAATGTCACGATACTTCAAAGGTGGGTATCGTTAGGGGTGTTATAAATGACATATTGGTGTCCTGTGACTCCTTGCAACTATGGAAAATATTTTATGATAAGTATACAGGAATTAGTTTGTACTATAATTGTGATTTGTTTTGTGCATATAAAATTGCAGCTACATGAAACGCGTTTGTTCAATAATACTGTATCGGTCTGGTATGTATCAGTCTGTACTTGCGCTATTGCGAAGTTACGGATCTTTAGCGAGCTCTTTTACTTGTCACAGTGTACTTTCATGAACATTTTTATTGTTTGTCCTGCATCAGTAAAATATTCTAGTTTACCCTGCTTCTTCGCTACAGTTTCTCACTCCAAATCTCCTTACATATTCGCTCCTACCTGCAGTGTATTTTCACGCCGGGCCGCGGCTGGCTGCGCGGAGGATATATCTGCCGCTGTTTGCCGGGTTTTTACGCCCCCGGTGGACAACCGGAGTTTGACGGCATCAGCGTAGAGGGTTAGTAGCTTATAAGGGTTAGACTAGAATTATACTAGAACTAGACTAGAATGTGTGACGGGGTACTTCGGGGTATGACGCGGAACGGGCTGCCGCTATGTGATTGAAAGGTCTTCTGCGAATAAATATACGATTTGGCTGGAACGTGGTTAAGTGCATATATGTAATTTGGTAAAGGCTGCACAAGCCGTAACTTGCGAACTACGAGTAGCACAATGATATAATAATGGCACGACCTTGAACCACCTAGTTCATCAGTGGACAGTGACTATAGTCACTAACCATGCCTCTCTCTCCCTCTCTCTCTCTCTCTCTCTCTCTCTCTCTCTCTCTCTCTCTCTCTCTCTCTCTCTCTCTCTCTCTCTCTCTCTCTCTCTCTCTCTCTCTCTCTCTCTCTCTCTGTCACTCTTCACCAGTCGCCTACGAGGAGCGTCTTCAGGAGGGCCGCGGTGGAGGCAGCTCTTACGACATGCTGTACATCTGCAAGCCTTGTGCCCCCGGATGTGTAACATGCACGTCAGACAGGCCCTGCATGGCGGCGTACAACTGGGTGTTCAGGTATGAATGTATGGCGGCGTATAACTGGGTGTTCAGGTATGAATGTAGTATGGCGGCGTACAACTGGGTGTTCAGGTGTTCATAACATGTAACTTGTTTTCACTGTTTTGGTATGGAAAATGAAATGTGCAGGAATGACTTAATTAATTGCAGCTAAAGTATGGTTGGGACTGTGTTTTCAAGCGTTATGGCCGGGTTTTGGGTAGTTCTGTATATAGTACGGTAGCTGTTTATCCCTGTTCTTCGAAAAAAGATTGTCATGCTTTCTGATTTATACATATGGCTTTTATTGCTTAGATGATTGTCTCATTGACCATCCCTAATGCTCTGTTCTTGCCGACACTTATATCCTGTGACCATTGACCGCTGACCAGCTACATGAAATATAAGACCCGCTAACCATCTCTATTCTCTGTACTTGCCCACAGGATCGTGCTGTTGACCACCTCTATTCTCTATACTTGCCCACATGATCGTGCTGTTGACCATCTCTATTCCCTGTACTTGCCCACAGGATCGTGCTGTTGACCATCTCTATGCTGTGCGTTTTGATGACTTTCATTGTCATCGGCCTCATAGTGCGTTTCAAGCGTCTCAAAGTCATCAAAGCGGGATCACCTATCTTCCTGACCGTTACCCTGCTGGGATGTGTTGCAATGTATATGGAGGTGAGCGAGATTAATTGAGGTAACTCATTTATACTTATACGTGACATGACGCAATTGGTGCGTTATTTTTCTTCGATTTGTTTTGATGAGTCGCAATAAAGTACTGACGAAAGTTGTTTAAAACGTTCAATATGTTGTGGATTATGGAACATGAGAATAATGTGTTTTATTAGTCATATTCATTTAGTAAGCACAAATTGAAGCCAAATAGATGCTTACGCCAACATATGCGACTCATTCATGGTAGGTATTAGGTAACCTAAATGCCTAAAGCCTAAAGCTAAAAAATCGCTGATGATGATAGTGGTTACCTAACATGGCTATTCTAAATACTCACTTATGACATAAAACGTATTCTTTCCAAATTGATAAACCAACATGTCCACCGCCATATGCGCCCAGATGGCGGCCATTTTCCCCGTGCTGGACACATACAGCTGTGTGGCCACCAAATGGACGCGTCACATGGGATTCTGCATCACCTATTCTGCTCTGCTGCTGAAAACATGGAGGTGGGTTCCTAAGACGTAATGTTGTTCTTTTACACAGGAAACTACCTCTCATCAAAGATAAGAGTTGTCAGATTTTTTATATTTCTAAGGCTCGCCATACCTTCTATTGGGATACTTTGTACTGCATACCAAATTTCTCTAATGTTTGATCATTGATTTATTATATTCTCACAACTTAGTTTTATAGCGTTTTTCTGCCTTTGACGCCGAATGTTGCAACCGACGCAATTCAGGACTTATCCTGCATTACGTCGGCGATAGATGCGGCGTATTCAAGCCTCTTGCATGTTAGGCTCTTCTTGAACTCAACCCTACCCCTACCCTACCCTACCCTACCCTACCCATACCCGACCGAAGCGCTTTACCAAGTTTGAGCGAAAATTTGGTCTGGAAGGGGTCAAAGGTCTCAGCGTCCCGCTCATCGGCCGCCAATTATGAACATACGTGTTTTACAATACCGACCTTCATTTACTGACGTGAACTTCTAAGTACTTCAGAGTGCCTCAATGACTTACCGTTACCATTTCTGACCGGGGAGGTATCTCTCATTTGCAGAGTATCTCTAACTTACCGGGTCAAGTCTGCACACAAGCTGAAGTTGACGGACAAACAGCTACTTCAGTGGCTCTTCCCTATCCTTCTAATTATGGTAAGTGCCAAGTGGTTTTCTACGGATTGTATCGTTGAAGTTGTGCCAGATACTGGGTAGGTAATGCAGGCTCTTTACTGTGAGCACATTTACAAGGAATTTTCGTTTAACTTCTAATAATTTGGTAAGTGGCAAGTGGTTTTGTACGGATTGTATCGTTGTCCTTATGCCAGATTCTAGGCAGGTACAGTCACCAGCACTTGCTACCCATCACCCCCGGACGGCGGGGGAGCAAGCTACCACCGCCCTTGCGAGACTAGCGCCGCCATGCGCCAAGAAGTGGAAACACCACGTGACTGACGCCACGTGAGGGCAGGGTCACGTGATGGAGGGGCGGAGCATAGTAGCTTTTGCGCCCGACACTAACTGAAATGCGGCGCAGTGATTGGGCGCTTTAGCATGAATGAAGCCCCGGTGCCAGAATCAGCCGTTCGCCTTATGTGGAAGGTAAGCCTGTGCGTTTCACTGTTCTGTGTTGGTTTGAGAGCCACGGCACCATACGAATTGTGAGCCCCTTTGAACGGGTCACCGCCCGAGGCACTGAGGCGACGGCTGTGCCGGGCAAAGCCTAGCCTGGTGGGAGAGGTGGGCCAGGGAAAGTGCGATCGAGCAGCGACACTGAGACGTGGATTGGTATTATCTAACCGCGACAAACGATGTCAGCAGCCTCTTCTCGTTGACACGAAAAGTTTGACAGACAACGTGGGCAGTGCCCAATCAAAAGCTACTAAACGATTCAGTTAAGAAGTTGCCGGGATAACCAGACCCAATAAAAAGTTTTTAATTCGATTTTGATTGCCAAATGACATACAAGCCCGCCGTGATGGACCAAAAAAGGAGCTGAATAGTTCATAATTTCTAAAAAGCTCAACGGTAAAAATTTAGAAGTCAAATGTTAAAATTCAGCCTGCATGTTTAAACTCGGGTCCGGAGCTGGCAGGAAGCTTATATGCCAAGCTTGCAATTCCACTACGTTGTAATATAACCAAGAGTTATGTGAGAGCAACAACTGAAAGCCTTTAGCCCCGTTGGGGGGAGGGGGGCGCGAAACAGCCCCCTCTCCTTTTCAGTCGATATCTCCTTAAGTATAGCGTAGGTCGCCACCAAACTTTCAAGACCCCTCCGGGCATCATTTTACACCTTGTGACCAAATTTTTCCAAAGCTCTTATGAAAGGTTAGTCACAAATGACGTCAGAGTGACGTCATGTTCTGTCATTTTCGACCCAATAAAAGGTTTAGCGGGAAGAGATGTCACGCTTACAGTTTTGAAGATAACAAAAAATAGGTATTCAAGATAAAAAAGATGTAAAATAAACAGCGCTACAAAACTGCCAACTCTGATTTCTAAACAAAAACTGATTTTGACCATCAAAACTATAGACGTATACCTAACACCCGGAAAATACCAACAACATTCAAAATTAAAGCTGGAATATATGTTATAGAACTATCTGCTCTAGATATGCCAAACTTAAACTCGACAGCTCCATTGTTAGCAAAGTTATGGCAAAAAAAAAACACTACTCAAAATGTATTACGTAAAATCAAACTCAATTTTTAGCCGTCACAGAACACACAGAGCAAGCCAAAGACCACCATTGGATTTCCCGTGATGAGCTGCTTCGAATAGATACCCCTTTTATGCAAAATATCAACTATGAAATTTAACCTTTTTTTGACCTGACCTTCACCAGAACGTAATCTAAACCGGCCCCAATGGCCGTCTAGCCCACACCATTGAATTTTAAATGTAAAATTGCCCATAAAATATGTATCACGCGACCCTAGCAATTAGCATAGTTGGGTTCATATTGTGACCCTTAGTGACCTGACCTCTTTGACCTGACCTGGCATCAGTGACCTCTTTAGGCAACATATGTATTAGCAACCACGCTCCATCGATGTTTTTCGATAACATGCCTTTTATTTGATTGTTAACTGACTGAACGCATTCCTTAGACTAAATCGGTGAAAAAATGCAACCTTTGACCTGCTTGTGACGTCATGGGTGCACCTAGGTCAACGAAACCTAGTACAAGCTCGATAGCCCCTGGTGGGGCTATCGAACGTTTCTTCGAATTTTCAAAATCAGTCGGTAACTTCCGAGATCTCAGTTGGAGGACGAAACGGGACGGGGCGTAACCTCGACAAGCACGGATGCTTTTGAACCGCCCTGCATATCTTGTTTGATGCTTGTTTTGTTAGCAATACATGATGA